CTTCGCGCGCTAACGGTGTTACCCTTAGACCATATATACTTATAGACACGGCCTGTAGATATGAATCCACGAGTCGAGGTGAAGCAAAGATAATATCATCTACGTGACGTCACATGTGGGCATTTCAGCAATGGCTAAATACGGCTTCGTAGATGATATTATCTTATCTTTAAGGCAGTTATCTGAAGCCGTCCATAAACGCGCCTTTGCTTTGCCCACATGTGACGTCATGTAGATAATATTATCTTTGCTTCAAGATAGTTGTCTGAAGCCGTGTCTATAAGTATATATGGTCTAAGGTGTTACCCATAGCGACATATGGGAGGGGCTAATACAACAGCATATACTATAACATATATATATTAAAATGTAATCGTGCGAAGCGCGCCGGGCGGCCGGGCTGTCCTACGCGCGTAAAACAGCCCGATGCACGCTTATTCGCGGATCTTTGTTAATTAAAATCTCGGTAACTATTGCGAATCTAGCAAAATGATATAGGACTTATCGACTCAGTTTTACTTCTTCTACCTGTCTACGAGAGATGTTACATCAATTCTGGGACACCCTGTATATACATATACATATATATATGCTGCCAGTCAAAATGTGCTATAAAAAGTTTGTACACAGATATTGATAGATCGTACCTACGACATGAACCTGTATAGAGTTGATCAATCCTTTGGGAGTGGAGCACGTGTACATTCCTGAATCTTGAGGCTTGGCATAGTATATCGAGAGGCGATACTTCCAGTTTCTTTCCCGCGCAGCAATTGCCCATCCTGTGATGAACATTTTTATAATAATGAAAAAAATCAAGAATTAATCACTTCTTTAATTTTTTCGTTAATGTTTTTATTTTTCTGATTTACCTGTCAAATATCGTCGGTGAGTCGATGTCCACGTCCACTCGGGATTACCCAGTTTTCTTGCGAAGAGACAATCTAGGTGTAGAATGCTTCCTGGGAAAACTGCGAGTGTCCCGGTTGGCTCTACAGCCGCCGAACCAGTAGGTAGACCGAAAACGATGGTCGGTGGTACCGTTTCTATGTATGAAAAAAGAATTTGGTCTTTTACAAAAAATTAAAGGACACGAAATCATATTTAGGTATATTCTCTTCAAAAATGTTCTGATTATATAGTTAAAACACTTATTGCCGATGTTTTATAATATTCTGAGATCTGATATTGATGTTTTCATGGAGTGTCGTATTAACATTCAAAGATGTTTTTCGCATTTTTAGTGTCATTTTTATACCAATATTTCGTGAACATTTCAACTCACTTCATCAGAGTTTCAAGATCAACCTGATTATAGTATCAAGAAGAAGTGAGCTGATGTGTTCACGAAACGTCGGCATAAAAATGACATTAAAGGGCCTTCTACAATAAGATATTAGTAGAGAACCTCTAGGAGTGAGAGGGTGCTTTCCAACTACGTACACAGGCGACACTGTGTAACACTGTGTCCATTAGTGTGAGAAAGAGCATATCAGTGCGTCTCACCCACACTAGTGGACACTGTGTAACCAGAGAGAAGCCTGAGAGTGGCCAGGCCCATAAAGCCTCTTGCACAATGGATGGAATAACGATAGCGATAGAAATAACAAAAGTTTTAAAGAGTTTATATTTAAAAATAAAGGTAGGAACAGCGGAATCTAACATACAAAACTACACATGTATCAATGCA